CCCCAAAACCCCAAAACCCCAAAACCCCAAAACCCCATGGCTATTATAAGATTTTGAATATAAGGCGAAATGTCTTTATTCTTCTTTGTTTCTCATATTTCCATGTTAAACTTCATCTAAAACTTGTGAAGATACGAAGAAATATCCTCTACAGATGTTCACAATTCCTTCGCCACAGACACTAAGAGGTTTGCTTGCAATCAAAGCTATTTGGAAATGGAAGAAAGAACCCTCACATTGTCTAGCTCTAGCTCCAGATCAAGAAGAAAGTTGCATTTTTATTTAGAATGTACGACTGAGATAAGTAGCAAATGTATTAAAGATTCATCCATGAAAAGTGAAATGTAGGTGAAACAATATTAGAAGGCAGGGCTTGAGAATGAAGAGCATGATTGTTTTAAGACAACCAAAATCCGACTCTTCCAAGAGCTCCCTCTTCAAAACAGCCCTTCGGATTCATGAAAAATCAATAGTTACCATCCCGAATTTTCTTCAAGTTTTCTGGCAAAGTTCAATAGGTTGTAAAAAATTTACATATAAAGAACCTACATTAAATCCTAAATAGGTCTTTTCGCTAAAGATTATTGAACAGCAACTAAAGATGCACGAGACTTATTGTGAAGTATTCGAGTCCTAAAATAGAGATCTGATCATCCAAATCGTAAAGCCGCAGATGGCATGAATTGAGAAAATCCCTCATGAATGATATCTCCTACCTGATTTGAGCATGGGCAGTCCTATCCATGCTGGATCGGAGGTGATAACCTAATTATTTTGTCACTAGATTTTATGACAATCTTCATCTTCTTTTTGATCATGGCCTTCATGACTCCTTCTGTGTTAAGCAAGCGTTGAAAAGTTTGGGGCTAAGGAACTTCGGAAATAGCGCTTCGTGGGAAAGTTCGATAATCCCAGTTTAATATCGGAGCTTATAGACTTGGCTATGGGTTATAGCACATCTAGAGAATACTTGTAGCGAGCTAAGGCAAGTAAAAAACTTCTATTCATCCCTTAAAGCTATCTGGGAATATTTTTGAATAATTCGATTTAGGTGTAAATTCTATTATTCTTGCACAATAGACTTCAGGTCAAAATTTTAGAAAAATTGGGTATGTTAAGAACTTTGCACCAACAACCTTCTTTGTTGTTTTAGAGCAAAAATGCAAATAACTGAGTTGAAAAATTATATCATGCAACTCTGAATCAGCCAGAGTTCTTCCTTTGGGAATTAGCATCCTTGTTATCAATGATGGAAGGGGTAAATTAAGCAAGCATCACTAAGTATTCTCATGCCCCTGAATAAGCTGTCTCTCTTTGTTATTAATGCTAAGTCAATTCAAGAATTGGAATAAATCTTCCTTCAATGCAATAATTTGAACGCCTTTCGAAGTTCTTTGTATATGGAACGATTTAGGGACTTTATATTAAACTGAATGTAGTCCAACCCTGGAGGAGATTTTAAGCAAAATGTTGAAGTCCTAGGCAATTTTTCTGAGAGATTTCAGCTTTCTTAAAGCTCTTATTGAATTCCGAATCAGAAATAAATGCTTTTAAATATGAAATAAAAGAAATTAAGAGGTTACATACACTGGACATCCGCCATAATTTTCCTTGCGTAAAATTCTATAAATAAGGAATCAAATTTAATAATTACTTAGAGATAGCTGCTTCCCTAACATTTAAAGTGGGCATGAAATAATCCCAGCCATGATCCTATCAAAGATGATTGGAACATCTACAACTCGAGAGGGGTTATCTTTTGACAGACAGATGAAGACCTAGCATCATCATAGCACTCTGACCAATACTTGTTATTCCAGCTGATGATTCTCACTCTATCATTATTCAAAAAGCCTGACTCGGTAAATAAGTGAAGAAATATGCCAAAAAACTATACTGCTAGATATGCTCTTTTAGATTGCTATAATCTCTATCGTTTGCATCCTGAGAGGCTCTAAATAAATAGTCCTTGCAAGGTCATATAAAAGTCTGGTTATCTCTGCCTCTGTCTTTAAGGGTTTGCTGCATTAACATTGGTTAAACTGTAATAATTTTTGTAACGATTGGCCAAAAATGTTTGAACTCATCCAGATTGGATTCGGAATTAGCCTGAATATTAGGATAAATGATGATTTGACATCTGAGAGAGATAATTAATTCTTAAGAAATCGATTTAATCATATTGGGAGAGATGCCTTGTTTCACTTATCTCCAAGTTTTGCTGAGAAATTATCTCTAATTTGAAGATTTTCTGGCAGAAACAACGACAAGAGTTCGTCTAATTAGATGAACATAAACACCGAAAGCTTCCATTTTCAGTTCTCTGAGTCATGAAAAATGTGACTAAGGTAAGTTACTCCTCAAACTTTGCTATTCAAATAGTTCTTTAGAAGCTATTTAAAGAACTAATTCAGAAGCAAATAATATAAATAAATTTATCATGAACACATATAACTTGGATTTTTCGAAATCCTTAGAAAATAGTAATGCAGGGTGTTCTCTGCATGATGATCAAACACTGTTATTCAGTCAATGTGATGGGTTCACATTGAAAAAGTTATTCGCAGATTATTGTCTTGGAGACTCAAACTTTACGTCTTATTGTTTATGAGACTCAGTAGGCTCACTAAATGATATGAGCAAAATTTGAAACGCTCAGTATCAAAGTTTTGAAGAGAGACAACCATCTGTAATAAAATTAAGCTCAGGAGGTACATCAAGTACAGTAAGATCCAGAAGTGATCGCACCATTCATCTCCAGAGAAAGCTTGCACAACTGTACTACCATCTGAACAACATCAGTGATCCTTCAAGACCCTTTGTATGCCGAAAATCTAAGACAAACTCCCACGTTCCTAGAGTCAGCTCCAGAAGGTCTCGTTACACCGGAGTGTTCAAGAACGGTTTGAAATGGCAGGCCTTCATCAATATCCACAACAAGAAGACCTACATAAGTACTTACTCGACACAAGAAGAGGCAGCGAGAGCCTTCGACCTGATGTCTCTGCTGCTAAACAGAAAGAAGGCAGTGACGAACTACGACTACTACCAAAGAGACATCTACATGCTGCTGAATGAATACTCGGACATAGTGGATAAATTTTGTTCATAATGAGGTCAACATGGTATTCCCTCCATGGGGTTTTGGGGTTTTGGGGTTTTGGGGTTTTGGGG